GGTACGTCAGCAGGCTGAAGTATTCCCTCTCGTAAACGACCTCTAATGCATTGGGCTGATCCAGTGCACCCTGGAATACTGGTAGCATGAGGTGCAGGTCAGGAAACACAGGTGTTTGGGACTTAGTGGGTCTGCTGCTTCCTAGACAAAAGCGGTTCACCTGGATCAGCAAGATCGGCGGAGATTGCACGAGGGCTTGTGAGCCAGCACCGGCGTGCTGCTGCCATGCATCGACAAGGTGCTGAACTGAGACTATGGTATCAGATTCGGCAGGGCTGGCAAGGCTGTCCAGAGGGGCAGGTAACCAAAGGGGCCAGGTGCTACCTACATCAACCCTCCTAATATAACCATCCAGCTCCTGTCGTGACTCCCATTGGCAGTCTGCAACTGCTGAGCTCAGCCGAGGTCTGAGAAATTGCATGTATTCTATGATGTCGTGCTGTCTGTGTGGTTGGGGCCATGATGCATGCAATGATACCCATGGGAGGTGCTGCCACAAGTGAACAATTCCAGACCTTCGGCGAAGCCACCCTACTATCATCCGCAAGCTTGGCCCCATTGGGCTCTCAGAGGCCATCATCCCTGAGCGCTCCACAGAAGCCCAAAGCAGAGCAAGGAAAGCAGCATTGGAATAGCAGTAGTTACGGCTGTTCCCTAGGAGTAAGGCTCGGACAAACCCTCTACCATCTGCTGCACCTGCTTCGCCAAGGCTGAGCGACCCACTCGCTCTTGGCGCAGGCTCATCGCCACTGCTCTGCAAGCCCCGCTGTGACATAGGCGAGCCAATAGTTCCCAGGCCCGATCCGCTTCCCGGGTTCTGACCCCTATCTCCAGCATCATCGGAACAATATCTCCCTTGGGCTGCGACGTCAGCTTTCGGGCGGCATGGAAGCGGAGCGTGGTGTTCGGCAGGAGCACCAGGTCCTGGAGCTCCTTGATAGTCTCCAATACCGTCTTGAGCTCCATGGGCTCGCGGTCTGGCTTTATCTCCAGCTGCTCCGTTTGCCGATTGTACTGCAAGTATGGAACCTGGCCGGCCTGGTTCAAGATAAGCATGTTCTTGGCTTGGCTGAGGCTCTCCTCCGTCTCCGCAACCACTTCCAGCCTGATGAACCACAGGTCCAGCAGCTGCTTCAGCGTTGCAGCCCGTCTTGGCAAGGTGAGGCCCGTGGGGTTGTCCTCCTTCATCTTGGTCCACGCCTCGATGCACCGAACCATGTCCGGTATCACCGACAGCATCCCATTCGTTTGGCAAAACAGGATGAAGCCTTTCTCCGTACGATCTATGGCCTGCTGGTCGTCGTGCCTCAGGACCAATCGGGAGAGGCTCACGCAGAGGTTCCGGATCTCCTCCACTTCCTTCTCCCTCTTGTTCTCCTCGTCGAAGTCGTTCTTGGCTTTCTTCCACCACTCGTTCTGTCTTTTGTTTCCCCAGCCAGAACCATATCCCCCGCCTTTCACCTGAGCCGACCGGCGGTACTTGTCCGCTCCTTTGCCCGAGTCCCAGTCGTTGCCGCGCTTGCCCTCCCTGGCCTGTGTGTCCATGGGAGTAGGAGTGCCTTCCGTCGACGGCACCGAGGAGGCTGCTGCATCGGAGGGGGCTGCTGTCATGGGCGCCGAGGTGTTGACCGCCCCAAGAACTGCACCAGGTCGGGCTCCCATGAGGCCTTGGAGGAGGATCGCTTGCTCCCTGGCTGAGACCAGCTCCGCCTGATTCTCCGCGGAAAGTTCCATTGCTGCTGCGGAGAGGGAGCTCCTGATTGGCACGGTGCAAAAGAAGATAGATACCAGTTCTAATAAGAGTAGTGCAGGCTTGCACATGTCTGGATCGACTGCTGTGTTGTGCCTTGAAGTCCTGGCGGCACCACCGGCACGGGCTAAAGACG